AGTGTCCCAGGTACATACTAAACAGACAAAGGGGTGCTTATTAAAACCATACACAGATATTTTCAGAGATTAAACTGTAGTGAAGCAACTATGTTCAAATGTTGATGAAACTTAAAACCAATAATAGCTAAAAGACAATTATATACCCTTTCACTCTTCTGCTTTCTGTGAAAAAACAGCTGTAATATTACACAAGAATAAAGGAACGGTCATGTAACTGTTAGGTCTTTGTATGGGATTTAATTTAAGACTGGATTAGAAGTTGGCCAGGGTTGCTTATTGAAGCAGTGCACTTAATTTGCAAATACGGTATTACCATTAGGTTGATGGAAAGTCTGGTAGCAGATCAATTTTGAGGACTGGTGAAAATAAAAATTCCCTTGTAACTCTGCGATGCTGTTTGTTTTACTCCATGTCTGTATTAACATGAGTGATGTGAATTAGCCTGTGCATTAACCATATTAACAGCCTACACTGTAATCACATTGAGAGGCCACCCCCCATCCCTTCATCAGGGATACTATTAACAGACCAATCAACCCAATCTAACTGGCTTGGGCTTTGCATCCTTGAACATAGGATGGAAGTGCAGTCTCTCTAGAGCATATTATTCATAAAACAATCAGTGGGCTCGGGTGGCCCAGTCGTCTAAGGCGCCGTGATTCGCTGTGCAGAGTTGCGTCCCTTGGGCACAGCAGAATTCTATGATTGTGGGTTCGGATCCCGGTTCACCTTGATTATGTTTCTAGGTTTCTCAGCACCATAGCCGTGCTCGTGGGTTTCACCGAAGTGGTAAACGTTTCAGACCTGCATCACTTTCGGGCTTTCCTCCCACATTAAGCTGACACGCCGTGATATAACTGGAATAATGTTAAAAGCGGTGTTATACCCAACTCACTCACTCATAAAGCAATCCCCCTTCTATTCTCATCCCCTTCCGTGCTCTAGCATCCCACCCCTATCCCCTTCTCAGCTATAGCAGGCTAGCAGCCAATACCCTTTTCAGCCCTGAAATTAAGAGACTTTGATCATGTTGACGCTTTCTTTCTACTCAAAGATTTCTTGATATAATTATTTAACTCTATACAAAAATGGGGGACAATACTCTCAATATTTTGGGTAAACAAGTCAATGAAATTGTTACTGTAGTTTTGCTTACAAATGTTGATTAAATACAACAAATTAATCAGACAACATTTTTCAATTGGTTAATTTCCACCTTGTTGCCCCCAATCTTCATAATATATGCCACATGAACAGTGATGAAGATCTTCATAATTTATGCCACATGAACAGTGATGAAGATCTTCATAATATATGCCACATGGACAGTGATGAAGATCTTCATAATATATGCCACATGAACAGTGATGAAGATCTTCATAATATATGCCACATGAACAGTGATGAAGATCTTCATAATATATGCCACATGGACAGTGATGAAGATCTTCATAATATATGCCACATGACCAGTGATGAAGATCTTCATAATATATGCCACATGAACAGTGATGAAGATCTTCATAATATATGCCACATGAACAGTGATGAAGATCTTCATAATATATGCCACATGAACAGTGATGAAGATCTTCATAATATATGCCACATGAACAGTGATGAAGATCTGTTTTAGAATGGGGTCTCCAGCAACCCAATGCCTGTCAACTGGCAACTAACAGGATCGGGTGGTCAGGCTCGCTGACTTGGTTAGGCTCGCTGACTTGGTTAGACTCGCTGACTTGGTTGATGCATGTCATTGTATCCAAATTGTTTATTTGTTTGTTGTTTAACATGTTTAACACTGTATCCCAATTGAGTTGATCGATGCTCATGATATCAATCACTGGATTGTCAGGTCCAGCCTTGATTATTTACAATGTTTAAGCTGACATAATATAGCTGGAACATTGCTAAGTATGGCGTTTAACAACAAGCAAATAAAATCACTGGATATGTGTCAAAATTGGTCAAACATTTCCAAACCTTTGTATTCAAGATAACTAACCATCACCTTAATTTTTTTCAACTGATAATTTGAAGTTGATAATATGGAAGACAACACAAGGTGACCTGTTTGCTCGTCTTGAACAGTGCATACGCACTTTGTTCCCTAAAAAACACACTGCCCTCATCATATTGATCATAGATGCTATCCAAATAAGTGTCCCTCCCTTGGCTCTGAATCTGGATTAACATAGCATAGTTTAGGCCAAGTATGGTTAGACAGAGTATGGGTAAGGCCAAGTATAAAAAAATAATAGTTACTTTAATTGTATATGATTTTTTGTAAATTTGGATTATTATTGTATTTTCTGATTGCTCCTTTAAATCCAGTTCAAAACTGTAAAAAAGCGTTTCTTATGGTTGCATCAACTGTAAAACATTGCATGAAGTCAGAAATGTTAATCTTAATATGAATTTAATCTGGAAAAAAAGAGCATAACATAACAAAACATTACAGGCTCTCAAGCACATGGTTTGTCTTAAAATTGCAAAGGGCATGTGGCTTAGAACCAATTTCAAGTCTAAATTGAAACATTGACCTTAATAATGTATTCATGAACTGCTGGATTGCTATACTTCATAAAACTTGAATTGGTTTATTCTCGCTGCAGTGTTTTATTGTATGATAAGACCTACTTTATCGTTTATTTCTTATATGAGACAACAATATTATGTACAGCCTCTTTAAGGATAATGATATAATGTACAAGCTTTAAAAATATTTGCCCATATTTAAAGAATGATGACTCCTCATTAGAAACCAACCTCTGTCCATTTTATGCACAGGTGGGTATTTCCTGCCTATTTTCACAATCCTCACATCGATTACCTGTACCTTTTCTCCCAATACCAATTGTCATATCTCTCCTGCTTTTGGGTGCAATTGGCCATCTCGTTTATCTGCCTTTCCCAGCTACATCGATACAGAAAACTCACTGGACACCCCCCTCTCAAAATAAAGTTATCCAATACACGACATCATCTACAATGATCAAGTTGCAAGCATATTTATCGCGTAGCTATGTAACATAAGCAGAAAAAGAAAGTGGATTTTGAAAGAATTGATTAAAACTTGCAACTCGTCCTGGACGGCAAAGAGACTGAGAACAGTGGTGTGAGGCAACAACGTTAGCGTGTGACCCCAGGTCGGGGTCTGTGTATCGAGATGCTATTGTGATGCCTTTATGACATAGGCATGTAACATACAACTCACTGTCCCACTCCAGTCTGAATCAGCTGTGTAATACACATCACTAGACACTGCAATCAACATAGCATCACGTACATTTCAAACAAACTGATGCCCAAGAAACACATCTGATACACAATGTAAATATCCAGTCACAAAACAGTAACCTTTGTGACATGGAAACATTGATTATTCAAAGAGGAATAAGTTGTTTCTAAAACATGTGTTTATAAAATTTTAATCCACACTGTTTACATTGATATTCAAAGACTGTCTTACTGTATGCACAGGTATTATGATCCGAGTTGTTTCACAACAGTGAAATCGCATGACAAATAGCTGTCAACATGATTATACGTCAATATACCTGCAGTATATCCGCTTAGACATGACAAAATCATCGCCCAAGTATTAAGGCAGCATGACTCACGGCTAGAACGAGGACATGGTGTCAAATTGCAACTATCACACCCATGCTTAAAATGCATGTTGCTGCAGAAGACACAGACCTGTCAGCCCAAGGCTTGGATTTTTACAACTTTTACAACCATGTTGTGAAAAATAACCAAGACAGAACAATTTAAACAATGCTTACATTGGGACTGCACTTTGTCAGTGCAAAATACAAACACTGATTATGAATATTTTACATCAAAAATTGATTTTGTCATAATTGAATATGAGATCGCTACTGAGCAATGTTCTCATGTGTCATCCATGTTATAAATTGTCATGTTGAATTCTGTTTATAGGTTATCATTATTGCTACAGTTGTGCAATAAATAGAACCAGATTTTGGTTTAAGATTATTAGAGTGAGTGAGTGAGTGACTGAGGTTTTACGCCGCTTTTAGCAATATTCCAGCAATATCACGGCGGGGGACACCAGAAATGGGCTTCACACATTGTACCCATGTCAGGAATCAAACCCGGGTCTTTGGCGTGATGAGCGAACGCTTTACCCACTAGGTTACCCGACTGCCCCTAAGATTATTAGACGTTGTAAGTAAGTGATTACATACAACCTCCAAGCAAATACTCATATTTCTGAGACCTTCAAAAGATACAATGATTCATTCATACACAGTATGATACATTGTTACACACAGTGATTTTACCGATAAGATAACATAGTATGTTGTGTATGCTGTGGTTAATTATTCATAATCAACGCTAATATGGTGAACCGCATTGTATAAAATGAGGGAATAAATTCTAAATCATTTAGAATCTACTCCACGTATTGAGAGTATAACTGAAATGTATCGAATATTTCTGGTCAATAGAGGTATTTGCAAAGCTACAAGTAGCAATATTTCAGAGTGTACCGTTAGGTCTGGTACATTATTGGCAATATTGCATTGTTGATAACTGGGGATCACGACTGAATGGGATGAGATAAAATCACAAGGTACACCAGAGGATAACAGTTGATTCACCCCTTTGTTTAAAGCGAATGGAATGTGCATTAGAATCGAGAAAATCGCTTGTGTTTGACCTGATGTGTCTTCAATCGACCCGTCCCGCCATTTTGAATACAATATGCATGCGATATGCGCCAGTGCAACCGCAGATTCAAGCTAACGGTACACGATCGATGTGCTTATTCTATTTTAAGTGGGTTGCAATTTACAAAACTCAATTACAAGAGGAAATACCTCTACCTCATGTGTACAAAAACTAATGTCAAGGTCGAGCCGGCAACACTCGCAGTGATAACGATATGATCTGCTACCGGTATGAAGCGAACGTTGCAAATATTTCTGCAACTAAAGAAAAACGCGAATAAAATGTCTACTTACCCATGGTGGAAGGATAAAACTCGGGCGGCTAGGAAAAGTAAAATATGTTAACAGCTAGTAAGTTGTCCACGAGAAAAGGTAAGCGTAAATTTCCTCATCCTAGTAGCATCATGTCTACGAAAGACCTTCCATCACACTGTTCAACAGAGAGCACTGAAGCTGTTCGGACCAGCCCATTATTATCATCGGGGGAGGAGGCTTTTCTGGTTGGCTCTACCGTTGACTGGGTTAGCTCGACACTCAATGTTCACTCAACCGTAACTCATAGAGTTAGCATTTCACACTAGTAAACATTAAATGTGGCCCAATCCGGATCTCCCATGCGCGCATATCAAACATGGCCCTCGTTTGGGAATACTTTACCCCTATTGGCTAAGAATAGGTACGTACTTAGAAATGTGTCAATCAAGCCGACTTGGCTCCGCCCCTTTTACCCATAATTCACACCGCAAATTACAATTCATTCACGTACATGCTGACAATATCGCAAGGTATATTACCTCAGGGATTGATTATTTGCAAGATTGTAGCAGACGAACTCTAAAGATGTTGGGCTACGTCGGTGAACCTTCGCTTATTCTGACCGCGGCTGTGCTTCTTGTCTGCATTTTGGCGATCGCTATCTTTCTTGGATGGAAAAGGTAAGAAAATACTTGTTTACGTCTTTGTTTATTTTATAGTAAAGTAAGCATAATATTCACCATTCTGTTCGTGATGGCTCTATATTATAAAAATAAAGCTGGTCTTTTGGTGCGAATCGATAACAACCGGTTTTTTTAGTTTGCTTGCTAACTGGGTCATCTGGTCAAATGGTTCTTAAAATTCCATCATCAAAATGTGGACAATTACTCAGGGTCAATCGCAAGCCATCAGCGACCAGGCATTGAGGCCAAGGTCCAGTGCGACTGGACAATAGGCTTGTCAAAACAGAGGCTTCAAGCCCCAGAGATGTTTGCGAATCTTGAATTGCGCTTAACAAAAAATAATATGCCCTTCCGAAATAGTTTTCTCAAGCATTTTTACAATCCAGTTTATTCAACATGAAATCTTGTTATTATATCGTAATGTTGCAATTATTATTTGTTTGAAAATTATACTTAAAATGTTTTAAACGAGCCGTTATTTACCTAATTTTATTATTTAACATCTTTTAAAGTACAAGCCCTTGCATTTTGTTGCACTTTTATAAGTTTATATGTTGATATGTACTTTAAATTCTGACGATCTTTGCTTAATCCACATTACTATTGTCAATAATTACAATGAACTGTTAACTTAACATTATTTATGTTTCTGTCATTTACACATTGTTTCTTTACGAAGTAAACAAATCAATATAATAATGTGTTAACACCCCATAATAGAATTTAATAGTTAACATAATTGTTGATATTCTATAAATATTTACACTAAATTATTAAACAGCGAATTGTTGACATCGCATGTTATACCCTTCATTCGTACGACTGTGTGGAATATTGCATCAAGGCGAAACTTCATCATTAACAGTAAATACCCCATTTGTTCACGTATATAAGATGATCCGCTCGACATGTGTTTCTGTGAAGACCCGTGCAGTGTTACAACATTGGCGCCTATTACCCATCAGCACCTGGCTGACATATGGATATGCATTGCGACGTAACCCCTCATCATCTGTCAATCAACACGTTCATGTAAATTACACTAGTCGATCATCACAGACAAATGATGTCATACTGCACTTTAAACGACCATTGAAGAATGGAAACGGAGTTATATCAAGTGCTTTTGCAATGATTAAGTGTGTTTGAATTGAATTCCACGTACATCACTCTTCAACCACAGCAAGGGTGTGGAAATATCAAAATTGTGAACTTGTCCCAGATGATTAAACAGTTAAAAAGATTTTTGGTCTGGAGGCAAACCCTACATGTCCAAATTATTGACCCAAAATGGTGTATTTATTACAAAATCGGCATTTAACTGTCCGCGCGTTTCGTTTGGACAAGGATAAATAAGTTTTCGTATATCTCCGTTACTTCTTGAGAAGCAAGTCGACATGCCATGCCTTCTTCATATGACGTGGAACTCGGATCAACCTATGAGAAAGCTGTTTAACGCCACTTTGAACAGTATTCCAGTTATATTACGGCGTGTCAGCTTAATGTGGGAGGAAAGCCCGCTGTTGATACCACTTTGGTGAATACCATAAGCATGGGCTTAGTGCTGACGAACCTGAAACATTATCAGGGCAAAATGTGATTCGTGTCCACGATCACAGGTTTCTGGCGTGTACAGGGGAGGCAACTCTGTACAACGAATTGCGGCGCCTTAGAGGACGGGGTTCCCGTAGCCCCTTGTGCCATAAGAGAGAAGTAGTCATCAACATGTTCAAAATATTTCCTGTCTTTGTAATGTAACTAATTCATGTACCACATTTTTAAACACATTCCCTTTCAAAAACAGGCGCATGGCATGGGTTGTAAGCGCTACAATAATAGTGATTAAAACCGTGAAGAGACCAATGCTTGTCGTAAGAAGAGACAAACGGAATCGGGTGGTCAGGCTTGCTGACGTCATCGCAATTACATAGCACGATGCTCATGATGGCATTCACAGGGATGTCTGGCCCAGACTTGATTATTTACAGACTGTCGTCATATGTATGGGATATGCGTAGTTAAACAACATGCAAACACATATAACTGATTAAATACGAGCACATGTCCATGAATGTCAGCATATTTTATAGTCTATACAGTATTTTCTGAACAGGTATGCTTTGAATTCTGATTTAAAACAGCCCAATGATGCAACATCTTTATAGATGCAGAGGTCAACAGATCAGAACCTTCGTAGCTGATAGTCCAGATTAACAAAGTTCCCGTTTAAAGAATATTGGTTACGGAATAATGTCGCTTTGTGTATATGTTAACGTTCCCAGTTGTAATCGTCCGGAATTAACGGGATTCGGATTAACGAGTTGTTACTGTGTTTATTCACACTGTCCATGGGAGATGTTAAACCAAACATAGCGTAGAGCGAAACATCGCTGACTAGAGCTTCATTAACTCCGTAAATTTTAAGATGATGTGTGAATCCCATTTCTAATGTCCCCGCCGTGATATTGCTGAAATATTGCTTAAAATCGTCATAAAACCATACTCACTCACTTAGGAGGGTTTATTGTTCTATGTCCCGACGGAATTCTTAATTTACCGTTATTTGAGCCTGATTACGACGAAGTCGGGTGAATCAATACACCGGATAAGACGACAAACGTCACCGACCCCAACCATCAACCGGTGAATCAACTAACGTCAAAAGGAACGCGACCATGACGCGAACATTTCGCGCCGCGGTCGCGATCGTAGGTTTATTCTGTTACAGGAGTGTTGTAAACCATCAACACCTCAGCTATATTCCTATCTTTAAGAAAAAATAACACACCCACGAGTGTTGTCTTAACCACCCATGATCAGTGAACATGACGTCACTACATTGTCCTTTGTAGTAATTATCGTTCCGAATAACGTTGGGTTAAAATAGCTTCCAGCTGACACGAGAAGTGCGACCTTGACCTTGTTTCATATAATCAAACACTCTAAGAGCAACTGTCATTAATCCCCGTAAGCCAAAAGCTTGCCCCAGATTATCTTGAAAAGTTTATTCCTTTTGCGTTTTGCGTTAATATCTCTGCATCCTTATTCAGATGAAGAAAAGGGTTTGTCATCCAAGCCCACATAATAAGTATAGTTATAGCCACGAATCAATAAACACGATGTGAACTTGTGTAACATCAAAGAAAATACTAGTTTCTTTTTCTTTAACACGGGTTGTATAACGGTAAAAGAAATTCGTGCTGTGCGATGTGTTATCCTTGATACGTTTTTCCAGCGGAAATGAAAGACATTCAAGATTGTTGTATAATTTAGATAAAAGCAGTCATTTTCTGAAAATCAATTAATTGCCGCAACAGAGTATTATCATTAGCTCGAGTGTATTTGCGACGTCTTGGTGACCTTGACCCCAAGACACTAACGCACGGACTCTGAAACAGATAGTTGTATAATCATGAACGTAAAATGTCGCGTGTTGTACGAATACTGTTGCTCACAAAGGTCAGATTGGCCATCTTTACGCCCACGCGTCAATTACTTGGTGTACCTTGTATAACTGAGGCTGAGAATCTGTGATAGCGAAATCTTTATAAAAACAACAAATTCAGTCATTAAACTTGTGCATACAAATAGCCGTCCAATCAAATTACACTAAGTTATTTATAGGATAGATGGAATTGGTGACGTCACTTCCGAAAGCAAAGGTGGCGAATGGGCCAAGGGTATTTACATGTATCAATTTTTGAATTGAGATATAATAATCTGGATCATCGAGGATGATTCATTTCAGAAGGACTTTAGATTCAGACAAGATGGCTGTACTACAGCCAGTCAAATACCACTTAGTCTCAAACTCAGTCTTGTGAGATATATCAATCAAGCATTAAAATGTTTGCTCTATGTACACAATGTCATGTAACAGAGACAATACTTTTGTTTCACACACAGCTCTCATTACAATCCGAGAGGAATAGGTTTTCAGCAACTCATGCTTGCCGTCAAAAGCGACTATGTTTGTCGTAAGAGGCGACTAACGGGATCGGGTGGTCAGGCTCGCTGACTTGGTTGATGCATGTCATTGTATCCCAATTGCGTGGATCGATTCTCAGGTATCAATCATTGTATTGTCTGGCCCAGACTTGATTATTTACAGACCGGTGTCTTATAGCTGGAATATTGCTGAGTGCGGCGTTAAACAACAAACATACAAAAGCTAACAAACAAAAATCAGGGTAGCCTCTTGAAAATGTGGATTTTTTATTCCAACTATAAAACCGGTTTTTCACATACTTCGTCACTGAAGTGTCACCGTGTCCTAATGTCACTGATCTGTGAGTGCTTTAAGCTTTCCTGGCTACAGTTGTTCGTTTTTGTCATAATATTTCAAGATCCCTTGTTTTGTTTGTATTTAAGTTCTATTTGATTTGTTAAAAACAAAATCTAAATATTATAAACAACAGAGCAAGCGATGCCATCGTGTAAAAATAGAGATTTATATAAATTATTGGTTAATCAAAACCGTACCCCACTCGGTTCGCTTCAGTTCAATCGGACCTCGGCCAGCACTGGCAGGATTCCATATTGGAATAGGTTTCGTTCACGTGACTATTACATGACGCTAGCCAACCCGCCGGTCGTCGAACTTTACATAATTGCTTAAATGGTTTCCATTTGCTTCCGTCGATGTGTATACCAATATTTTCCTGGTACCCAATGCCTTCCAAAATACTGTCATGTTATACGAACTATATATATGCGGCGGGATCTGGCGTTACGCGGTTTACAGTGAATTCAGGCAATATCCCTACACTCTTACTGCCATATCTGTGCTAGTGTGTTTAACCGAAATGCCTGCATCACTTCGGGCTTCCTCCCACGCTGTGAAATAACTGCACGAAGTACTGTTCAAAGCAGCGTGAACTAACTGACTTCACATGCTAACTTAATGTGGGAGAATCTTTAAAGGTACTCATGTTGAGGATCATCTCGGTGAAATCCACGAGCATGGCGATATATAACTAACACTGAGTTTGTGAAAC